TCTCTCATTGATGTTTCTATCTCTCTTTCTCCCTCTCTCATTCTCTCCCAAAATTCAATAAAGAAAAAATACTTAATTTTAAGAGGAGGGCACTTTCTTATTTTGTGAGATAGCATTACCCTGATACCAAACCCATACAAAGACACTACAAGAAAACTAGAGACTCCGTACCCATTATGAACATTAATGCAAAAATCCTCAACAAATATTAACAAACAGAATTCAGCAGCATATTAAAATGATTATACATGATCAAATGAGATTTGTTTCTGGAATGCAAGGATGGGTCATCATATGAAAATTGATCAGTATACTATACCACATTAACAGAATGAAGGGAAAAAGTTATGAGTGCTGCAGAAAAAGCATTTGACAAAATTCAACACCTTTTCATTATAAAAACACTCAACAAACTAGGAACAGAAGGAAACTACCTCAACATAATAAAAGCCCACAGCAAGCATTATACTTAGTGGTAAAAGACCGAAAGTCTGAAAGTGTTTTTTTCTACTATGAGGAACAAAACAAGGATACCTCTTTCACCACTTCTATTCAACATAGTACTGGAAGTTCTAGCCAGAGCAATTCAGCAGGAAAAAATTAAAGTCATCTAAATTGGAAAAGAAGAGGTAAAATGATCTCTTTCTGCAGATGATATGATCTTATATCTAGAAAACCCTAAGGTTTTTACACACAAAAATAGGATAAATGAACTAAGCAAACACAAAATCAACACACAAGAAATCAGTTACATATTTATGCATGAATAATCTGAAAAATAAATTACAAAAACAATTCCATGTGTAATAACATCAAAAAGAATAAAATACTTAGGAATTAACCAAGAAAGTAAAACACTTTTTCACTAAAAACTATAAAGCATTGCTAAAAGAAGTTAAAGAAGACATAAATAAATAGAAACACATTTCATGTTTCTAGATTGGAAGACTTCATATTATTAAAATGTCAGTACTACCCAACACAACCTTTGGATTAAATGCAGTCCCTATCAAAATGTCAATGACGTTTTTGCAAAAGTAGAAAAAAAGCCATCATAAAATTTATATGTAATCTTAAGGGATCCTGAATAGTCAAAACAGTCTTGAAAAGGAAAAACAATTATAGAACTCATATTTCCTGATTTTAAGACTCATTACAAAGCTACAGTCATCAAAACAATGTGGTATTTGCATAAAATAGACATAGACCAGTAGACTAGAATACAGAGCGCAGAATAAACCCTCACATATTTTATCAAATGATTGACAGATGCGCAAAGATCATTCAGTGGGGAAAGGACAGTGTTTTCAAGAAATGGTCTTTGGAAAACTGGATATGCACATGCAAAAAGAATGAAATTAGACCCTTACCTAATACCATACACAAAAATTAACTCAAAGTAGATCAAGCACCTAAATGTGTAAGACCTAACATAATAAAACTGTCAAAAGAAAACATAGGGCAAAAGCTTCAGGACAGTGGATTTGGCAGTGATTTCTTGGATGTGACACCAAAGGCACAGATAACAAAAGAAAAAATAGACTAATCGAACTCACTCAATTAAAAACTTTTGTGCTTCAAAAGACACTATTAACAGAGTTAAAAAGCAGCTCTCAGAATAGGAGAAAATAGCCCTGGCCGGTTTGGCTCAGCGGTTAGAGCATCGGCCTGCGGTCTGGAGAGACCCGGGTTCGGTTCCCACTAAGGGCACGTACCTCGGTTGCAGTTTGTCCCCGGCCCTGGTTGGTTGTGTGGGTGGCGACCACTCGATATGTCCCTTTCACATCGATGTTTCTCTCTCTCTCTGTTCCTCTCTATCCCTCCCACTCTACCTGAACAAAAAATGGAAAAAAAAATAAAAATAAAAAAATAAAAAAAAAAAGAATAGGAGAAAATATTTGCAGATCTTTTTCTGATAGGATTAATCTCCAGAATATGTAGAGCACTCCTAAAATTTAACAACAAAAAGACAACAGCCCAATTTAAAAGTGGACAGACAACTCAGATAGACATTTCTCCAAATAAGTGTACAAAAGGCCAACAAGCACAGATTTTTAACATCACTAATTGCTAGTAAAATGCCTATCTTAAAACTACAATGAGATACCACCTCAAACCAATTGGAATGGCTATTTAAAAAAAAAAAAATAGCCCTGGCAGTGTTGCTCAGTGGTTGGAGCATTGGCATGTGAACTGAAGGGTCTCAAGTTCGATTTCTAGTCAAGGGCACATATCTGCGTCGCAGGTTCAATCCCTGGCCCCAATTAGGGCATGTGTGGCAATCAGTGTGTCTCTCAGTGTGTCTCTCTCATATCGATGTTTCTCTCTGTCTCTGTTTCTCTCTCTCTCTCCCTCCCTCCCTCCTTCCCTCCCTCCTTCCTTCCCTTCCACTCCCTCTTTTAAAAAAAAAGAAAATTAATGGAATAAATATCCTTGGGTGAGGATTAACAAAACAAAACAACCCCCCCCAAAAAAAAAAAAAAACAAAACCAGAAAACAGCAAGTGTTGGTAAGAATGTGGAGAAATTGGAATGAACCCTTGCATAGCTATTGGGAATATAAAAGGGTACAGGTTCTATGGAAAACAGTACGGTGATTCCTATAAAATGTAAAAAAAGAATTAACATATGATCCAGCAATTCCACTTCTGGGCATATACTGAAAAGAATTAAAAGCAAGTCTCAAAGAGGTATTTGTACATCCATGTTCATAACCACATTATTTACAATAGCTAAAACATGGAGGCAACCCAAGTGTTTATCAGTGGATGAATGGATATACAAAATGTGGTCTGTGCATACAGTAGAATATTATTCTGCCTTAAAAAGAAGGGAAATTCTAGCCCTGGCCAGTGTGGCTCTGTTGGTTGGAGCATTGTCCAGTGTACCGAAGGGTCTTGGATTTGATTCCCGGTCAGAACCTATGCCTGGGTCGTGGGTTTGGTCCATGATTGGGGTGCATATGAGGGGCAGCTGATCAATGTCTCTTTCTCCTTTCCTCTCTGAAATCAGTAAGCACATCCTCAGGTGAAGATTTTTTAAAAATAAGGAGAAGAAGGGAAATTCTGTAATAGCTACCACAGATAAACCTTAAGGACATTATGCTAAGTGAAAGTAGGCAATCACAAGAAAGCAAATATTGTATGATTCCACTTACCTGAGATTCTTAGCGTAGTCAAAATCATGGACACAGAGAGTAGAATGGTAGTTACCAGGGGCTAACTGTTTAATGGGTATAGAGTTTCAGTTTTATAGATGAAAAGAGTTATGGGGATGGATGGTGGTAATGGTTGCATAAGCATGTGAATGTACTTAATATACTGAACCGTATGTTTAAAAATGTTTACAATGGTTATGTGTATTGTACTGTAATTAAACTTTCCAAGATGGATAAAAAAGCTGTGATACATATACACAATGGAGTACTGTGCAGCTGTAAGAAAGAAAGATCTCTTATCCTTTGAGATGACATGGAGGGACCTGGAAAGTATTATCCTAAGCGAAACAAGCCAAACAGAGAAAGACAAGTATCATATGATCTCACTTATTTGTGGAATATGGAGTAGTCCCAGAGATGTGGAAGATAGGGTACAGACTGACAATCCCCAGAACAGGGCGGGTGGGGGAGAGATAAACCACAGAACTTATATGCATGTGTACATGAACAAAGGTCATGGACAACAAAGCTGGGGACAGGGTGGGGAGGGGTTGGAGGGGGGAGTCAGTAGGGGGAAAAGGAGAAACATCTGTAACAAAAATAAATAAATTAATTTTTTTTAAAAAAGATATTCTTATAACATTGCCTTGATTTCCAGTCTACATAGAGGTTTCAGTGTTTAAAATTCTTTAAATAGTATTTTGATTGATTTAAACAGGTTATATAAAAAATAATAGGAACTGACCTTGATTATTATCTGTATTTCTTGACTGTGGAAATTATGTTGTTTTCCTTTAATGATTTCTCTTGATGGGACAATCCAAATAGATGGATCATATTTAACCTGTGTTGACTTTCACTTTTCTCACCCACTATAATGAAACAGCCTTACTGTTTGCAGAGAAAGTAGAAGGAAATACCAAATGAAAATCTGGCCGTATAATTTATTTCTAATGTTTTCCTTATGTTTTCAAAATGTGAATCCAGAACCGTTCAGACCCTAAAACATTTTTTTTTAATCCTCACCTGAGGATATTTTTCTATTTATCTTCAGATAGAGTGGGAGGAAGAGAAAGGGGAAGAGAGAGGAACACATCGATGAGAGAGGGACTCATCAACTGGCTGCTTCCTGCACGACCCCAATCAGGGTCAGGACAAACTGCAACCCAAATGTGTGCCCTTGACCGGAATCGAACCTGAGACTCTTTGGTCCGTGGGCTGATGCTCTACCGCTGAGCCAAACTGGCCAGGGCAAACATTCTCCTTGTAAATCCTGCCCCCAGATATTCTAGGCAGAGGAGGGCAGTAGTACAATATTAACATCAAAACTGAAGTTTATTTTTTTTTAATTTAAGTACAGCTTGATTTAAATCTAAGGACAGAATGTCTTGATAAACATCAAGAAGGAGTTTTTATTTTTGATATTTTAAATCGAGAATGTTAGGAGTTTTGTTATGCCACTCTATCAAGTACACAATTGTCTACCACTGTGCTGTACATCTGAAACTAACACAGAATCATATTGGATGTCTACTATAAATGAAAAATAAAAAGAATTTTAGATATACAGAATACATATTTTTACATGATTTTTCTTAATGTCTGAGACTCTTTAATTGCAAAAGTCTGTGGAAAATAACATTGGAGGCACTTATATGTACAAATTTGAGACTGTACTTATATTGTGTTTTTATGTAGGAATTTGATTGAATATTTTTAAAACATGGAGTATTTTTCACTTTTTTTCTTTCAATTTCTGTAGCAAGTTTATCTTGCAAAGATTCTTCTATAACAATCCTCACAGTAAGAAAGTTCATTTCAATTTGGTTAATTCATTTCTTTAGCACCTCCAAAATTCTTGCCCATATCATCAACACCCCAGCCAGAGAGACGACAGCCACCCCAGAGACGACATTCCATTGAAAAGGAAACACCTACTAATGTGAGACAGTTTCTGCCACCATCCAAGCAGAGCTCCCGATCTCTTGTAAGTAACTCAAAGACTGCATAGTAACTGAAGAATCAGTTAGAGGACCTAGAGTCAGTAGCTTTCTTGAGATGATAGTTAGAAGAAAAAACTTTCAAAGGTTAGAATGAACTTTAACCTTAATTGTTTTTAACAGCTAAAGAAAATCAACCCTAATAGCAACCTAAATGAAATTTGACCAGTCTTTGTTTATTTAAAGTACTTTTTTTTCCCCAGAAGACTTATTAATGGTTGAAAGTATGGATTATTACAGACATGTTTTCTTCCTTTCAAAGGGTATTAATCCACTGAAAATTTGTTAAAACTAATCAAAGAATTTAGCTAAGTCTAGCTACTGTAGACATTAAGGCAGAAGTACCGGGGGAGAATTTTGATCTGTTAAAAACCATAATCCATTGTTTCCACATATGTTTTGGAACCGAAGCTACTGTTTGGACTGGCTGACAGTTTTTGCTGTTTTCCAGAGGCTTGGATTCATGTAGTAGCCACCCATTTCTCAGAACAGTGGGACATAGGACACAAGGCCTTGCCAGGAAGAATAGATCACCAATTAATAGTACTACTGGCAACCTAACATCTAATGTTCTTTTTTTTTTTTTTTTTTTTTTTTTTCAGATACTCTGAATAAAAAAACTGGAATATGCTTAATCCATATTTTTAGGCTTTGATGCATCACACAAAATAGAGGGATATAGTGTGGTTATTATGAAGATAGTAAATTTGAACAGAGCTTACAGTTTTGAAATTTGATCAGTCATCTCTGCTCCCAAACAATGCAATTAATGATTTTATGGCACTTCTTGACAGTATTCCTCTTAACTTCTAAATAATCACCAGAACACTGATATTTGATTAAATATAGCAGGAAAACAGAACTCTAATTAGACAGGTTCAGACTTTAAAATCTGAAAATTTTTGTTAATGTGAATAAGTTATTGCTTTATCAAAATATACAATTACTGTTACAATTTAAAAATATGTAAGAGGGAGATTCTTAGTGATTTTTTTTTACAAGTCCGATAATTAGGAGATTCTTCTCTTCACATGGCTTTTCCTAGAAGCCAGTTTATCATTTAGATGTGTACCTGTCTTGTGATCATATGGCATCATTGTTGAAGTTAGACTTAAATCTTACAATTATCAATCAACTATCAGATTACAAAGGTGTTTCAGGTAGTAACAACATTGCCAAGAAAGACTATCAGTCCACATCAAGGGCCTGTGAAATATATTTCCTGGTAAAGGGCAACTCTTAGCATGTGGTTGGTTGAGCTGTAAGTTGGTTTTTTTCGTGGGAAAGAGAGCAAAGTAAAACGAATTTGTAATCGCTAAGAAGGGTCTCAGTGAACGGCATTGGGTGAGCACCTCTGGTCAATACCAGGTGGTGGTCAGGTTCCACACAGAACTACGCTCTCTCCTAGGTACCAGCTGAGACAAAATAATATCCAGGTCAAGTAATGACTTTTCTTGCTAATAGCATATCTCAGGAAATCCAAAAATTACACTTCTGTGTGTGGTGCCCTCTAGCTTGATAAGTATTGTTTTTAAAGGATGATAATTTAACATTTTAACTATATTTTAGAAATGGAATCACTTTGTATTTCTAATCTCTTTACTGGAAATGTCTTTTTTGTTAGTTATTTTAACTTTATCTCCCTCCCTTTTCTTAGGATGATTTAAAATGTAATTTTTCATCATTTGGCCAAATGTGATTGCCCACCTAAATGAAAGTTACCTGTCTTTAAGAACCTTCCCTAGGGGAGCAAGCGCTTGCTTGGTGTACATACCCACGCTCTGGCACAGCAGGAAGAGTTGCCCCTGTCCTGCATCCCCATGAGCCTGGTTTAGGAAACTGTTCACCAGTCAGCCAGTTAGAAAACCTGAAATTTAGGTCTTTGCTGTGTAAACTTTGAGATTCTGTAGGAATGAATGACTTCATGGTTTGATTACCGATTTATACATACGGTTGTGCAGATGTTGGCATGGACACACGTATGGAATCTACCATTAACATCCTTTGTGGTTTTGTTTTGTTTCATTTTTCTTTCATGCTCTGTAATCGCTATTTGTAGGTCACTCATGTTTAGCATTATTTTCTCCTTTTCTTTTCCCCCTGCCATTTTCTTTTTCCCTTATCTACTGTTCAGGTTCCTAGGATAAACAATGTATGGCCAAGGACGCCTTTCCGACCACTTTTTTCTACCATACAAACAGCTTCTCTGCTCAGCTCTCATCCTTTTGAAGCAGCCATGTTTGGGGTAGCAGGGGCTATGTATTATCTATGTGAGAGAGCTTTTACCAGCAGGTGGAAATCCTCAAAGGTTGGCCTCTTTCTGCTGGTTCTGGGAATTATTTTACTCTATCTCTTTGACAATGATACCTCAATTCCTGCACTCTGCAAGAATTAACAGCTTAGATGGGCACTTTGCTTCTGATTATTGATTCCAATCATTTGTAGGATATGTAGATCACACTATGATTTCAGTTGAGAGGAAAAATAACTTTGAAAGGACAACAAACTCAAAATGCAGCATCAGATTATAGGGACCTGTGAGTGTTTGTCTCTTCAAATGACCCAATTTTGCAGCAGGAGAAATGCCCTCTTCTTCTCCATGGACAGAGGCACTCTGAGAGCCTGTGGGTGCTTTCATCCCAGGGCCGTGCTGCCGTCAGAGGAGCATTTGCTACTGCCAGGCTGTCACCCCAGGGGATTCTACCTCTCACAGAACCATGTCATTGTCTGTGACCCACACACCCTGAGCTTCGAGAGGCTGTTTGCCCATAGTATGTGTCTCCCCTGGGCTCAGAGAATCTCTTCCCCAGCACCTGTGTTGTGATGGTCAGAGTGTTATGTGGTTTTTGTGATAACCCACTTCTCTGTAGAGAGAAATTTTATGTTTTCTTTTTATTGGTGTGATTATTTTACATCTTTTAAGTAATCCTGCATTTTATTATTGTTTTTGAGGTTTTCATATAGAATGTATTTTTTTTTAAGAAGTATGACAATTTTGAAACCTCCGTGAAATAAAAAGCCCCAGAACCACAGTGAAGCTTCCCCTACCCGCAGCATAACGCAGGCTGCTGACCAGTGTTGGCCGCAGCCTTGCCCGTTCCACCTCATGCGGGGTCCCTTATTTACTAACCGTGTCTTTGACAAATGAGCCAGCCCCTGTTTTTTTTGTTATTCTTTATTGCCCATCTTGATTTAGAAAAGAACTGTGAATGTAAATGAGAAACAACAAATCCCTTTTCCTGTTTGTTTGTCATGAAATAGAGGATAAATCTCTGACCTTTTTCTCATTTTTAGATCTGGCCATTTGGGCAGTATGGCGAAGTGCAGGGATCCATTTTAACCCCTGTCACTCCTACTGCTGTTATTGCAGATCTTCAACATCGTTATTTTTATTATCAGTCCTCTCCAAACACAGATATCTGTGTACTAAATCCACATATTACTTCAGGCAAAGAATTCACTTTGAGTTTTAAAGTTAAACTTGGAAAAATGAAAAAGTAATTAAACTTAATAATTGCTATTTTTATTTAAATCTACCTTTGAACTTAAAAACTCATAAAACAATTATTATTTTGGACAGTTTTTAAGTGTCTGCTACTCATTTATGAAGTTTTTGATGATCTAGAACACTACATAAAATGTGACTGTTCCCATTTCTCTCTGTGGCACAGTAACCAGATTATACATTTTGCTCTCTGATTTCTGTGCTGCCTAACTCTGACCCCTTTTGAATGGTAAAAATAACCAAAACCTTCAACAAAAACTTTGTTATTTTAGTAACATACATAAAAGTGAGTTCTAGAGGCACATCTGCTTCTATAGCATATTGTAATCATCATTAAAACACTTTCAGATTCCTCTTCCCTTTCCTAAATTTGAGTCATTTTTAAGCACAAAGAATAAAGAATTGGAGTCATGCTGCTCTAGTTCTTATAGTCCATGTCTTACCACAAATATGAGCTTAATGCTTGTTGTAGGAGTGACTGACCCCGGTGTCACAGTGGGAAAGGGACTCTGACTCTCAGTTAAAATCCTGAGTGTTCTTTATGTTTGCAGCATTTGTATCTCAGCAAGATCTGTTAAGGTTTAATTTGACTTTGGGCATATTGAATCAATATTTTTTGTCAATGAAAACTATTCTAGTAACTATTATTTTTTGTCATGTTGCATTAAAGTTTTGTTGTCCTTGGGAAAGCACCAGAATTAAAACATTAGCATTTGTCCTGATGGAAATTATCTTACTAAAGGGTAATCTACTTGAAAATTTTAAAAAGAAAATTAACACAAACCAAAAAATCCACAATTTCTTATTATATCCTATGAAGTACTGGATTTGGGTATGGTTCAAAGCAGTAAGTTGAAAGTATGCTTGACTAAGCCCTGGTATGAGTTAAAACTGAGGAGAGAGCAGTACAGGCTGTCAGGTTGTTTACATGTGCTGGTGTACCCTTGCAGATAAAAAGCATTCCTTCTACCAGAAATATTTACCAGCCAGGCATCTAAGTTGTAAAGTTCATTAAATTGGCACTATTTGCCATCTTCCAAGTGTGTATAACAACAAATCTCAGTAGTGATTATCTGGTTATTTGCTAGATTTATACATTATTTTGTTCCAAGTCAACAATTTTGTCACAGGGTTAGCTGTCAGAAAATGTACCACAGTCATACACATAACTGATGATTGAAAATTACCATAGGAAAAGTTTTATGAAATATGTTCAAAGCTCAGAAAAGCTGTCATTCAGATGTTTGCAGCAAATAGTACTTACCTAGTACAGTTTTAATGTACTAACATTTACAGAGTCAGGGCCTTGTCCCATTTGACGCTAAATTTTTTTCTTGATGGAACAAAGCAGAGTAGATATTGAACATGCCCATTTAATCCTATTATCTTTGGAGGAGAAAATTATGTGATGTTGATTTTTTTAAAAGCATTTTAGATATCTCAGAGTAAATGATATGATCTCTCTGAACAATCTGTTTTCCCAGCCTCCAAATACTTTCTTCATGTTAAAAATTTAGTTGCAGGATTTTTTCCAAAACACTATTAAGTAAATTTAACCTTCCTTAATTTAGCTTGAACAGAGACGATTTGGTATTGACTATTAGTAAGAATCAGTTGTTCTTCAAACTACTTTTTTTAGTAAATGCTAATGTTTCTCAAATTTACAACCTAGATTTGTTTTTGTTTTTCTCTGATTGAAAGACAGAACTGAATGTTAAAACTGCATTCATAGTCATGTGCTTTCTTAATTGGCTTGTTTGATTCCAGAATGCCTATGACCAGTGCTATTGTGTGTGTGGGGGGGGAGTGAATTATAATGTGTTTGTACTGAGAACATTAAGTTTCAGTGTCACTACACCACAATGGCCCTTGTGAAGCCTGGCAGGGTGCAAATGCACAAGACTGTTCTGTCTTTCTATTAGATCCACCAATCAACAACAGGCCGGATGGGGAGCAGATGGATTTGAGGCTCTTTATTCAGTGGGATCAGTTACATCAACATCTTCCTCAGCTGTTTTTAGGGAAACTATTAACATAAACCCATCAACATAAATATTTATTGTGACATTTTTCTGATTTTTATCCACATCTTTCCAATGCTGACTGTGCATTCAGTAGCTGTTTAAAAGTAATAACAGAAATCTAGAGAACTATGGGGCAGCCTGTAGAGATTGCCTTTTGGCTGTAAACTGCACCAGTGTTCCAGCTCCACTCATACCATTAGGATTTTTCAAGGTGTGCTGATGTAACTTACCACTATGCTTTTCCGTATAAATTACTAACCACCTTTTTTTTGGCTACTCTGGGTACCACAAACAAATTTTAAAAATAGTACCAATGTTTTTGATTTGTTATTTATCTATTAGCATATAGTATCAACACAACACTAAGTAATGTCTTTGTGTAATCATAGGAGACAAATGACAAATTTGGTTTAGAACAATATTTTTGTCAAGATTTCAGTGCGTAGATACATAGCTAAACAAATGTGAGGAAGTTTAATTTTTAGGAAACTTCAGTGGACTACAATGTTTCAACATGATCCCTAGAAGTGTCTGCCATATGTTGTCTTGATGTAATTAAAAATTATGTGGTCCCCAGAGTAAGCCTGCTCTGTTCCAGTGTTCACTGGGACCTCTTTTCTTCTCAGAAGCTACTAACCAGGTGTCTGATCTGGAGGGAAATTTTGCAATGCCAGAAAAGGGGGTGAGAGTTTCTTATTCATGTGGAATTTTGAATTTCAGGAGGAATTCTGCTTTCCAGTGGAATGCCTAGCTCTTACTGTGGAGGAAGTGATGCATATTCGTCAGGTCCTGGTGAAGGCAGAGCTGGAAAAATACCAACAATATAAAGATGTCTACACTGCCCTGAAGAAAGGAAAGGTAGAGCTGTTTAAAGTTGATTGATGAGCAGGGTTAGCAGAATGGTCATTCACATGCATGGTCTCCTGAAGAAGCTATCTGCTAGCCAAAAAGTGCAGGACTTTTAGGAGATTTTAGGAAGTAACAGGCTTATTCTCCAGAAGTCAGTTCTTGTTCTGCCTTGCTCACCAAAGTATGTTCTCCCTTAAAATTAAAAACTCTGGAAGTTTTAAAACAACTATAATAAATAATGGTATGCCTTCATAAAACCATGTCTGCATTTAGTCGTTATACAGGAGAGATTTTTTCAGAACCTTCTTCCAATTACTTCCGTGATGGTGAAACTCTAGAGAGCTGTGGCCTTTTATTACCTCTTAAAAGGTAATAAAAGAACGAACCATGTTCTTATCACAGAGCCAACCATAAAAACAGAGTTTCTGAATTCTCTTCCTCCTCCTGTGTACTAAACTTCCCCAATGTATAAATGTAAATTATATTCAACCATGTAAATTAGGAAAGTAACTGTTGGCGATGCTTTTTTTTCTCTCCTTTACATTTGTATTTTTTAGCTTTGCTTTTGTTGCCGAACCAGGAGATTTTCCTTCTTCACCTGGTCTTATACCTGTCAGTTCTGTAAGAGGTAAGGTTTTTTTTTTTTCTGTAATTGATGGCAATAGTCAAAAAATACTAGTTAACTTCATTGATTCATCATTTTTCTCCATAGGAACAATATTAATAATAATCTATTATCACATTGTGCATAATGGGTTAAGAATAATAATTTCTTCAAAAGAGTGGATCAAACAATTATTTGGTGTTGAACCAGGAAAATGGTTCTCTGCACTTATTTCTTTTACATAATCAAGATAATTCTAATAATATCATGTTTGAACAGGAAAAAAATAGATGTAATTATCATATGACTGTTGGATAAACAAATAAGAAAATTCCAGATGTAAGTTGATCCTTTTATAGGAACTAGTGTGAGAGTTCATTTTTACAGATTGATCATCTTTTTGGCAATCCACATTTGTATCAATCTATTATATTCTGATGGAAGAACCAGAGAGTTTTTGCAATTTATTGTAGAAATTTACAACCATGCAGCATTGGCATCTTTAACTCTCCAGTCTTATCTGTGGTATCATACCAAGTAATACTTCTGATTTTGTATACAGGCCCGTGTGCTCACAGTGTTGCAAAAAGGTAAGCTAAGCTTGGTGACATTATAATAGTAATTTTAATAGATTGCCTTTTTAACAGTACTGCTCATTCTCAGTTTTATTTGGGATAATAGATGCGGCTGCCATCCAAGCCATACGCCACTCTTCCTATCTTTTCATTGGGACCTTCTGCCTCACAAAGAGGAGAAAGTTGTATGATGAGGCCAGAAAAACCCCCCAGTAGCCACCAGCGGCCACTACGGAGCATTGCCAGGTAAGTAGGAGGCCTGGATCTTCAGAGCATCCTTTGAAAAAGAAGAATGCGCCCTGGCCGGTTTGGCTCAGCGGTTGGAGCATCGACCTGCGGTCCTGAGAGACCTGGGTTCGGTTCCCGCTAAGGGCATGTACCTCGGTTGCAGTTTGTCCCCGGCCCTGGTCGGTTGTGCGGGTGGCAGCCACTCGATGTGTCCCTTTCACATCGATGTTTCTCTCTCTCTCTCTCTGTTCCTCTTTCTCCCTCCCACTCTACCTGAACAAAAAATGGAAAAATGTCCTCGGGTGAGGATAAAAAGAAGAATGCTCCTTTTGAGCACTGTGGTGATGTGGCAAGGTTTTGGCTCTAGAGGGTTTGGATTAGTTGGTTGGTTGGTTGATTTTAATATAGTTTTAACTTGCATACAAATCTCCAAAACTTCCAAAAGGTACTTTGTCAAGGGATAGTGGTTAGCTACTTGAAGGATACATTACTCTCATAGTTTATTTTTATTTCTATTTAGAAATAATTACTTTTGTGTGTCCTTTTAAAGTCATCTTTAAATCTGCCCTATTTTCAATGGAGTTGAAAACTTTCATGTAATAGTCTTCTTTCCTTTATTAGTTTTAAAAGAAAATCTGTTTACTCCTATGTTTACAGTGGTCTGCAATTTAGTTTTCTATTGTAAAGGAAGAAATGAAGTTTTATACCAAGAGATGGCAATTTAAAAGAAAAAAAGTTGCCTGAATATCAGTCCCTTTCTATTTAATGCAGAGTAAGGTTAGTATTGGTCCTTAAGAAAGGTGGAAGGAGGTCAGGCCAGCTTGCATTACATACCGGCAGGGCCCAAGAGGATTCTGTTTGATGCATCAGCCACCTACTGGGAAGGGGTAGTGGGGGGCAGACACTGGCATTGGTACCAAATGCTAGACAGAGCTACCCCTGCAGAGGGCTCAAGGTAGTGCAAATAATAATCTATTGTTCTTTTTTGTACTTACTCTGAACCTGATTTCCTATTGGTTTCATTAAAATGGTAAATGAATAAGTGATTCCTCGTTATTTCAAAAAATTAACCAAAATATATATTATGATGTTGGTTTAGTTAACTCCAGCTCTCTGGAATCCAAATAATCAGTCACCCAAATATACAGATAAATTCAGAAATTACAAGATAGCTAGTCCAAAGATAATTTTTCAGGATGTGTCATAGGATTAATATAAATTTACTTCTATTTCCTGTAGTCTGACCTACCATCTGCATTTAACTAATGTTCATTAAGCATGACATGGGGTTACTGAGAAAGAACTTAAAGTTCCTTCTGAATCATCAGTAGGACATTAACAACATGTACTTTATTTCATCTTAGTTGTTAAAGTTCATAATCTATACGCATGATAATCAGGTGATGACTACCTTAATATCCTGTTTTCTAAAAATTCTAAAAGAAATGCTAAGATTTTCAGTATTTCTTTTTTTTTTTTTTTGCTCAATCCTCCCACTCCCAAGAGCTGTCTGCCTGCTCTCTATCTATGAGTCTGTCTCTATTTTGCTTGGTAATTTAATTTGTTTGTTAAATTACACATATGATTGAAATCATATGGTACTTGTCTCTCACTGACTGGCTTATTTCACTTAGCATAATGTTCTCCAGGGCCATCCATTCTGTCACAAAGGGTAAATTTTTCTTCCTTTTTATGGCAGAGTAGTATTCCATTGTGTAAATGTACAACAGCTTTTTTATCTAGACTTCTACTGATGGACACTCGGGCTGCTTCCAAATCTTGGTTATTGTAAATTACACTGCAGTGAACACAGGAATGCATATATTCCTTCAAATTAGTGTTTTGGGTTTTTTCAGATAATTCCCAGAAGAGGAATCACTAGGTTATAAGGCAGTTCCATTTTTTAGTTTTTTCAGATAACTCCATACTGCTTTTCACAGTGGCTGCACCAATCTGCATTCCCAGCAACAGTGTACTGTGGTTCCCTTTTTTCCACATCCTCGCCAAACAGTATTATTTCTTAATAAAATATGTTTTCTGGTTTTATTTATTTATTTACTTACTTACTTACTTACTTACTTATTTTTACTGTTGAGGTGTTACAGATGTCCCTCATTTCCCCCCACCTCTGTCCAGCCCCCCCCCCCCCCCGGCCTTCACCACACTGTTGTCTGTGTCCATTGGTTATGTATATATGCATATAAGTTCTTTGGTTAATCTCTTCCTATCCCTCTCCCCTTCCATCTGAGATATGTCAGTCTGTTCCCTGCTTCCATGTCTTTGGACCTATTTGTTCATCAGTTTATTTTATTCATTAGATTTCAGATATAAGTGAGATATGTGATATGTGTTTCATTTTTTAACAAATATTTTGAACCTTGTCTTCAATTAGAAATTCTTCTTTGGAAGAACATAACATGACTGAATTACTCACCATTCCATAATGTTTTTGCGACAAATTTTCTTTTTTTGCACATATTTTCTTAGTATTGCAATAGAACTTTGAGTAATAATACTTGATGTTTTTAAACGTTTTGTTTTTTTCCAGGTTCTCAAAATCTAAGTCTGTGGACAAATCAGATGAAGAACTACAGTTTCCCAAAGAGTTAATGGAGGACTGGAGTACTATGGAGGTGTGTGTAGACTGCAAAAAGTTTATTTCTGAAATCATCAGTTCAAGCCGCCGTAGCCTGGTGTTGGCCAACAAAAGAGCCCGATTAAAAAGGAAAACACAGTCTTTCTATATGTCCTCACCAGGCCCCTCAGAATACTGCCCTTCAGAGAGGACTATCAATGAAATCTGAGCCCTGTGCCTTTCAGTTGCTTTTGTGTTCAGAGTAGGCATTAGTGTGGGAGAACACTGAGCTGGACTGTCTCTCCTTGCTTTGGTTTTAGTTAACAGGCTTGATTTGCATTAGATCAGGTTTTGGCTGCATCACATTGTTCCACAGACTGAAAGCTGTGTTCATATCAATTGATGATATGTGACAGGACAGCCAATTGCTCGTTTGCACTGAGAGGACAATAGTTTGAAACTTGCTTTTATGTGTGTGTAGATTTGGAATCCAGAAACTTTTTCCTTAGTTCAGTTCCTTACTGTTCCTCTTATAATTTTCTGACTAAAGCAAAATCTTCTCATGTGAGAATCAGCCTAACAAAGGTTTCAATGTTAGCACAGTTCTAAGCAGTAAGTCATATTGGCACTTCCACCTGACATTGTTCCTAACTAATGTACATAGTGGTCCAGAGCCCTGCCACACACCAGATCTCTGGCATGGGGCCAGACTAGTTATCTCCGAGCACAAAACCTACAAGGATTTGTTCATACTATCAAACTGATTTTAAAGTATTGTTGCTCTGAGATAAAGACTACAGGAGGGACTTTATGCCTACATTTTAGTAAAACATCTAAATAAGCTGTACACCCAAGTGGATAATCATTTTCTCTGAGCTGCTGTGTCTGCCCCGGTAAAATGGATCAGTGTCTCTTGAGTGGGTGACAGGTTTCCATTCCCTATCTTGCATGTATTATGGTTAGTTGTAGTTTTAAAATGGAGGTCTAAGAATTAAAGTTTTGTGGGAGTTTCGGGACAAGGATTAACTAAACGTTTGTCAACATCTTGAGTGTGTTAAAGTGAAACTGAATTTCACTATACAAAGGGCTGTAACAGCACAAGGTGCCAGCTCTTGGTCACACTATGGGGAATAAACCAGAGCTCATATATTTTCAACTATGTTTTTCATACCTTTATAGTGTAGCCATCATGACTAAATCAAGCCACAATTTGGCACCTAAGGTCTCAAACTAAAATGTATTTATTTTTATAAATGAAGTTTAAAAAAAATACATTGTCTAGTTCTTTTAAAATTACAAGATAATTAACCTGCTATTAGTCTTTTTGGATGCTTTTTGCACAAGTTTTCCTTGTAAACAATTTGAGCAAGTAGAGTGGGTTTTTGATGAAGGTAGAATTAAGGATAACATTGTATACTTGAAATTTCTCAGCTTGTCTGGACCATGCCATGGACTATACTTTATTATTTTGATATGCTTAAAAATGATCAACCAATCAAATTGTCATTAATGTTTGAAAAATCAGGAAATGCACATGCACAATAATTTCCTAAAAGTTATAGGACACATCTATAGTCAACACTTCGACAGCACCATTTAATAAAAGGCATGGCAGTCACATTTCATACCACATCAAAGTATAGCAACATGTCTGTATTAAATTAACAGTAATACCTCAAAACTGCTCTGGTAGTAGTTTCTAAGGGATTGAAATTTACAATTTAGTAAATGGCTTAAGATTCTTTTACTTATGAAATAAACTTTACCAGTTGACTAAAACAATGCATGTAAACAATTTGTCTGTATTTGCATGTAAAAGTGGGCTACCAGAGAACCCTTACTGATTATGCAAATGTTTAAATTATGTTAAAGACTCTTGTTTAAGAGCTTAAACATTATATTGGGTGAATCTCATTCCTAAAATTTTCCAAGGGCCTATTTGAACTCTCTACCCCAGATGATTTGGTGGGAGCCACACCCTTTGAAGGCCCAGGTTGGGCCTCTAAACTACCACCAGGAAGGATGCAAAGCAGAGAGAATGGTATTTTATATGACCTGGGATGCATGCTTTTTAAAATGATTAGTTCATTGTTGTTATTTAAACATAAGAAAAGAAACTCCCAAAATGAATATTTCATCTACATTCACAAGACAAATATATAGCATATTTGAATCTTTGTCTTGACTTCTTTATATAGGCTGATTTGGGCATCATGATCACCTCTTACCAGAGCATTACAAGGTAAATTGTTCAACAGCATTAATGAGGTTTGCCAGGTGCATTAAAGAAGTCACACGGATGGCATATCTGCATGAGACAGTTTGCAGAAAATAGTGTAAGAAAAGGGCACATGATATAATTGAAATTATATCAATCAAATTAGCATCACTTTTTGTTGCCAAAATAATTCCTTGCATTTAATCTTTTTCTATCTATGACATGTTTCAAACACCTCCACTAAATTAGCTAAATTTTCAGAGAGCAGTTCACTAACAGCTTGTACAGTGTGGTCTTACAATCCTCAACCTGACCTTAGGTCTGTCTTCCTCTTCTTACTACTAAAATAACATACCTTCATAGTGTTCCTCTTTGTCCTGGTTTCCAGCTATTTGGCACTTACTTCTGTTCCAACAACAAAACTGTTGTTGGCTAGATGATCTCACTTGGAACCTGATGTGTCTTAGAGCTTGGACACACACCTGAGCTGTCCTCCCTGCATTGCATCCCCTAACTCTTACCCTGACTCCCTCCAGGCACAAGCACCCACCCATTGCTTTTGTCCCAGACCTCATGAACTCACCCTGTTGGGAGATCTTTGTCTTCTTTCTCATGGTTTAGCTTTGTATCAGTGTCAGAGTAGATAAGAATGCTTGTAAATACTGTAATATATTTATTAATATTTGAAAGGCATTCATTCAGTGGACAATGGAAATTAACTATCCCAATGCAAGTAAACATAAAATAAAATCATTGATATGTACATTGACTTAACAGTCTTACTAGAGTTCAAGTCTTAAGCCTTTCAAATAAAACCAGAAAGTTGTTATGTACAAATTTTTTAAATGATCTTACATTTGAAGAGATTATGTGATAGCACCGTGAACACATACCATGAATTTTTAAGGCTTTTATTTTTCTAACTGTATTAACAAAAATAGGACTGGATTTTAGGTGTCACATAGAAGACGTGAATTATGTTGCTATTTGCTAAAGCAAAATAGCAGAAAATTCTGTACATGTAAAACTGTTGAAGGGCCGTGGGGAAATGTGTATTCTGATTGGAACTTCCTACATGTATGAAAGACAAAGTGTGACTGGCATTCAGGGTAACATGGTGGTACTAAAAGTTTTCCATTAAAATCTTTTATTTTAAAATTTATCTAGGGAAAAATAAAATGGCTTTCCTTCATACCTTCTGTGTTGAGTTCCTATTGTAAAATGGTGATGTCCTTTGATAACTAGCTGTCAGCAACCGCCTAGATTGGAAAGGCAAGATACTTTTATCATCAGTATCTTATGATCTTAGCTTGAGAAATACAATCTAACAAGGACCACATTGGAAAAATAAACAAAAATGGAGCTTCCAAAATAACTGCTATTACCAAGCCTTTGTGAGTCCTTTTTACCTCAACAGTATAGGAAATTAAAATTTTATAAACATTTTGTTATATAGCAAGTTGTATATATGAAGACAAATTTTGTATAGAAAGATGATAAAGCTTTTATATATGTTTTTAAAATACAGTTCCTCAAGGTTCCTAAAATGCCCCATGATAAGAAAACTTCTTGTTATTGCACTTCAATTGCTTGAGAAAAAATTAGGAAGCTCAAACCCAGAAATGAACTAAAGGAAGTTATGTTTTAATGTTAACTAAGTAGATAGAGAGCATCATTTAAGATATTTGCATGTCTTAAATATTACATGATATTGAGCTTGATATTCATATATGCAAGCTACTCCCTTATTTGCCAGACGTAATTTAGGATCTCCTTCTACTAAAGTTTCTCTGTGAGATGTGTATTTGTGTGTGTCCAGCTCACAACCCAAATGTTCACTGACTTTCTCAGTCTAAGAGTCTTTGCCTCATGCCTCCTTGGATTCCAGAAATACAGAAAATTTGGATACCATAAAGGGGAAAGCTTTGGGTAACTTTTATTTAATTATGTATTTATTTTTTTCCCCAGCTCCTGTGGAAGAAAAGATACATAGCTGTACATCATCATTGTCTAGAATCTCTTAAAGAGAACTACTTTCAGGAAAGGGCTTGATTGCACACATGATGTGTTTAGAGACTCCAGTTCTGCTATCTCTACAGAATGTGCTGGTACACACACACACATTCATTATAAAGCTCCTCTTCCTTCCTGTTAGCCGAAGGCCCATGACTAGAAACATCTCCCAAAAATGTTTAGTAGCTAAGAACCAACTTAATATAAAATTCTGCATACACTAATTAAATGCTTAGGTGCAATTACCTGGCAGACTGAATTTGCACTATTATTCTGGCTTATTTCATTAAAATGTATACATTTATGTATAATTTATGTATTTAGATTAGGTTTTACTGTGCAAAATATTCTGCACCTCTGTTTCTGCATGATGCTGGTGGCAAAATCTGAGCCATGCCAGTATTACTGAAGCAGTGGAATAAAGGACACAGGACACAGCTCTTGAAAAGTCAGCTTGGAAAATGGGGCATCAAGAAGTTGCTTTGGGTGCAGCTATGGCTGATGGTGTACCCTGTACTCTTATCACCAGCTGCTCTTCCACCTTCACTGGAGACCGGCTGGTGCAACACATCCTTGGAATGGAAGATCTTGTTGTGGAAGCAACTGCCAATGATGCCGTGAGATATCCTTGGACCATTGATAATAAGAACTATTCAGCTGACATCAATCTGTGTGTAGTGCCCAACAAATTTCTCATCACTACAGAGATTGCAGAGTCTGTCCAAGCATTTGTGGTTTACTTTGACAGCACACAAAAATCTGGTCTTGATATTGTCTCCTCATGGCTTCCCCTGGCAGAAGCATGGTTACCTGAGGTGATGATCTTGGTCTGCAATAGAGTGTCTGAGAATGGTGTAAACCGACAAAAAGCTCAAGAATGGTGTATAAAACATGGCTTTGAACTGGTAGAACTTAGTCCTGAAGAGTTGCCTGAGGAGGACGATGACTTCCCAGAATCTACAGGAGTAAAGCGAATTGTTCAAGCCTTGAATGCCAATGTCTGGTCCAACGTAGTGATGAAGAATGATAGGAACCAAGGCTTTGACCTTCTCAGCTCATTGGGTGGAGCAAACCATAGCATTGGGTCGCAGACACCTGTCACTCAGAGCAGCCCCATTTGCCAGCAACAGATAGGACTGAATCCCTCTTGGATCACCGGGGTGGTACAGCTAACACAGCAGACGCTCAGGTTGACAGCATTGTGGATCCCATGTTAGATCTGGATATTCAAGAATTAGCCAGTCTTACTATGGGTGGAGGAGATTTGGAGAATTTTGAAAGACTGTTTTCAAAGTTAAAGGAAATGAAAGACAAGGCTGCGGCGCTTCCTCATGAGCAAAGAAAGTTGCATGCAGAAAAGGTTGCCAAAGCGTTCTGGATGGCAATTGGGGGAGACAGAGATGAGATTGAAGGCCTTTCATCTGACGAAGAACACTAGACTATTCATACCAGGGTGTGACTAGCAAAGATGCTCACTCTCTCTTCCCGACACTTTTCTGTCAACCCAGTTATATTTTGCTGAAGTTGCCATCATCATGTTGGCCACCTGACTTGTTCATAGGATCCCCTTCATTTTAGCTTTCAGTAGAGAGTTAAGGAGAACGCTGTTCTCCTTCAGGATATTGTAAGACAGGAGTATAATGACAGTAAGGACTGAGAATTTTTCAGATACACTTTTTTGTTCTAGGAATGGGAGTGGAATGAGAGGCTCAAAGTCTGTGATTTGCCCAAGTTAAAGAAGAGGAAAACCGCTAAGCCACTCCTAGTCAACCTTTTAGGTGGCTTCCCCTGCGTCCACACTTGGTTACAGCAGGTCAGGAGCTAGTGCCACCTTTCCTGGGCCTTCTGGACTTTCTGCTTCCAAGGAGCCTGCTGCTCTGAGCTTTGATGCTTTTGGTGGGAAGAAAGGAAGCAGCTGCAGATTTGATTTGTGCTACAGTATAGGTGGGGCCAATGACAGTGGCCCTTGAGTTAGTATCTAACTAAAAATAAAAATGCTCTGGGCCCTGGCCAGTTTGGCTCAGCGGTTAGAGCATCAGCCTGCAGTCCAGAGAGACCCGGGTTTGGTTCCCGCTAAGGGCACATACCTCAGTTGCAGTTTGTCCCTGGCCCTGGTTGTGCGGGTGGCAGCCATTTGATGTGTCCCTTTCATGTCGATGTTTCTCTCTCTCTCTCTCTCTCCCTCCCTCCCACTCTATCTGAACAAAAAAATTGAAAAAAATGCCCTCGGGTGAGGATAAAAAAAAAAATTGCTCTGGTGTTTCCATTAATATATAATGTCTTAGCTCATGCTAGAAAGTATTAAGAAGCCAGTGTGAATTTTTAGACTATAATAAATGAGGAAAGGTTTCCTGCTCCGGCAAGGATAAAACAGACCCCTTTAAAAAGTTGTTGTGGGGTGGGTGTGGGGCGGTTTGTGTGTGTGTAGGAGACAGAGAGTAATAAGTAATTTTCTACAGGGGCCATTGAAACAGTATGTGATCACATATTAAGATTTTGGCATTACTATTATCATGAAGAAACTCTTCCTCCTTAGAGTTCTCTTGAGATGTCAGAGCTGTGTTATCATACTTTATACCCTCCAAACAAGACAAGTTTTCTCCTCCTCCTCTCTGAAAGACAGATCACTGCCAAAATAGGAACACTAAAGTGAGTGAGGTCAAAAAGGGTGTGGAATGTTAGGCAGTGCACCCCTGAGTACCTTGTGTTGCTTCCTGGCTAGCGGGTCCCCAGTGTGATCTGTAGTCCTATTCAAGATGTGAAGAGAAGCAAGTAGCTGTAGGAGCAACTACATATAACAGACTGTTTTAATTGCACTAAAAGGGAACAAAAGTGCAGACAACTTGTCATCCAGCTTGGTCTAAGAAATAGTTACCATAGAGTCCTCAATATATATGCCTGTCAGGATAGTGATGGGATTTCCAGCCAAGAAATTTGTCTCTGGCCGTCAATGCTTTAGTCCCCTCGGCCCCCAATCACTGCCTGAGCTCTCTTATCCACCAAATTTGACTTTTATTTTTATTTTAAAAAAATTTTTTTTCTTTATTGATTTTAGAGAGAGCAGAAAGGAGAAGGGAGAGAGAACATCAATTAGCCACCTTCTGCATGTCCCCCACTGGGGATTTGGCCCACAACCTGGGAATGTGCCCTGACCAGGAATCAAACCAGCGACCTCCTGGTGCATGGGTCAATGCTCAACCACTGAACCACACCAGCCGGGCTTTTTTTTTTTTAATCCTCACCCAAAGATATCCTTCTATTTATCTTCAGATAGAGTGGGAGGGAGGGAAAGAGAGAGAGAGAGAAACAAACATCGAAGTGAGAGGAACACATCGACTGGCTGCTTACCGCACAACCTTGACTAAGGCTGGGGACAAACCGTAACTGAGGTACGTGCCCTTGACTGCAATCAAACCCATGACTCTGGTTTGCAGGCCGTCACTCTAACCACTGAGCCAAACTGGCCAGGGCCAAATATGAATTTTAGAGCTGAAATGATCCAAGAAGATACTCAGTCTACCCTCCAGCCAATGGAAGTTCTTGGCTCCGTTTAAACATGTCTAGGACCAGGCAGATGCTTATTCTAGGCAAAGTTCTGTCATTGAACAGGTCCAGTAGTTGGGAGGCTCAGCTCTCCTGTAATCTCCCATTGTTTACTCCCTGGCCCTGCCTCATGTGTTTACTGTCCCTTCCAAGTGACTGCCTTAAAGAGCTTCTAAATTCTCACATCTCTGTAAGCTCCCTACTCCTTTTTGCTCCCTTCTGCATTTTCCTTTTCACCGTTGCAGAGAGCACCTAACATCCTATTACATTATTTCATGAAGACAGGGATCGTTGTCAGATGTGCTCACTGCCACATCCCCAGTTTCTGGGAAAATGCCTGGCATGTAACAGGTGCTCAATAAGTGTATATGGAGTGAATTAATGAATGAAAGAGCAAGTTCAATGTAGAAATTAGAACAAAGATGGAACCATGAAGATGTCTGCAAAACAACTGATATAGTGTGTTGTCTGCAGAGAACTGCCACGTACAGCCCTTATGTTTTTCCTTTACGTCAGGAATGCAGTTCTAAACCAACAAACCACTACCGCTCCAAAGTACCTAAATAGAAGACAGAGCTTGAGTCAGCAGTTCATGCCCTTAGCATGGTTGACTTAGAGCTTGCAGAAACCCTCCTTGCCAGTCTGGGGTTCCTGCCTCACTCTTGTAAATATCACTTATCACATGTTCTTCTCTGGTTACTCTTCTGCTCCGAGCTCCTGGGTGGAGTCACTGTGCACAGCCCTGCCTCCCTGACCCACCTTTTGACCATTAAAACATTGATGTGCTGATGTCTAGAGACCTATAATTGAAGCTGCTACATAAATGTATAGGATATATTTATCAGTACTGAGTTCAGACTCATTAACTTTTACTATAAAAGTATGGCAGTTAACTCTTACTAGTAATCATTTCTATTAAGATGTATGTCCCAACTAGGCTGAAATAAATATTAAACTATTTCAGATTTGTCACAAAACATTTGATCAATAAAGGAAAATAAGGAAAGATATGAAGACAGGTGTTATATTAGGTATTCTCTGCTGTGTGCTACATAATTTAGAAGATATTTTTATAATTATCTCCATTAATACTCCACTCTGCAGTAGGTAATGTTAATATCCTCTTTTACAAATGAAAAACAGAAATAGCAAGGGCATCATCTGCCCAAGGTCAAACCACTAACTAGGCCAGCATCAAACCTGAGGTCTCTCCACTTCAAAGCTGTGCTCGTGCCCTACTGCATTTCCAGCCGCTTTTCCTACTAACTGCTATGATTCTGAACCTAGTCCTGAAGTCAACAAAGCATTTCGTGAATACCCAGTACTGTGCATGCAAAGTAGAACATCTTATCTTGGCTCCTAACGAATTTTAAACTGGTCAAATACATATGTGAACAGTTAAGGAAAAAAAAATCCAATGCAATATAAACCTCTAGGAATTTATAGTAAGCTGTGAACTGGTGTCAGCTTCCAGGACAGCTTCATGGAAGTAGGTTTTAAGGTGGGTTCAGAGGAGGGAGAGAACCTAGTATTTCCCAAAGTACAGTCTGTTGACCACCTGTATTGCAGTCATCTGGGCCAATGCCTGAGCCTTAGTACAGTCTGTTGACCACCTGTATTGCAGTCATCTGGGCCAATGCCTGAGCCTTAGTTTTGACATTTTCCAAAAAAGAATGAGAAACCTCTCTGACTTTTTAATCAAGGAAGGTTATGATAGGATCATTTTTGAGCAATGTGACAAGAAGTGGAACAGAATGAATAGGAACAATTAGAAGGTGATTGTACAAGTTTAGTATAAGATGAAGTATTAGTTATCTATTGCTATGAAACAAATCACCCCAAAATTCTGAGACTTTAAACAACAAACATTGTCTCACAAGTTTCTATGGGTCAGGAAATTAGGAGCAGTTTTAGCTGGGTGGTCCTGGCCTGAGGTCTTATGAGGTTGCAGTGAAGATGTCAGCTGGAGTTGCCAGTAGTTGAAGGCTTCACTGGGACCCGAGGAGGACCTGCTTCCAGGATGGCTCCTCACAGCTTCTCTGGGTCAGGTTCCTCCAGTGTCTTCACAACATTCTAGCTGGCTTGCCCCAGGGCAAGTGATGTAAGGGTGAGCAAGGTGCAAGCTGCATTGTCCCTTATGTCCTGGCCTGGGAAGTCATACACCTGTCATGGAACAGTCCACAGTATTTCATTGCCTCCACAGTTCAGCCCTGCTCTGTGAAGGAGACCACGTGCAGGTGTGGTCACCAGGAGGCAGCCATCTACCCCGGGCAGTGAGCACCTGAAGCAGACTGGGACAGTTAAAATGAGAAGACAGAATTGATCTGAGACCTTCTATAGGATTATTTGGTTTCCAAGTGGCTACTGAGAGAGCAAGAGGAAGACAAATAACTCTGGTTTTGTGTTAGGGAAGCGGAAATAGCACTAACTAGAAATGGGGGAAAGCAAAGCAGTTTGGAAGAAACCAAATTTAGTTTTATTTATGCCAATTGGGAGACTTAGGGGAATCTTTAAGAAAGGGGTCGCACTACAGAAACTTTTTCTCTAAGGAGCCTGGTAGTAAGTACTTCATGCTTTGTAAGTACTTCATGCCTCTTTCAGTCTCTGTCACATATGTCTGTGTATGGGAAGTGGGAGGGTTATTTAAACCCTTTAGAAATGCAAAAAACATTTTAGCTCAGTTTGTTGACCCCTGCCCTACGCAAACTGTCTCTTTTTGCCAGAGGGAAGAGGGGGCCAGGATACTCTAGGGCAGGAGGCTCCAGCACCATCCTTAGAAATGGATTTTCTAAGACGTACATGGGTGAATGGATGGTTTTTGTTGGCATGGAGCTATATTTCTGGGGTTGTACAGTCTCATGTCCCTCAATTCAGTCCTGGAAGAGGGGCAGTTGTGGCTTCAGCAAGGCTAGAAATAAGGCCAGGGTTCAGGGTGACTGTTCCATGATGCAGCCGGCTTTAGGTCAGAATTAGTTCAGATTCAGCCCATTAACCTATTTCATGGGTCCCACATGGCTGTGGGCCACATGGTGTGCAGGGCATGGAAGCCCCACAGCCTAGCAGTTTGGCTCCAGCAGCAAGAGAGTTAAGTGAATGAGCAAGCAAACATCAGCTTTTCTTTGTCTAGGAGATTAAATATTCAGGTTCTGCATGCTTGCAGTGGCCATGCCTATCTGGCCACTGTCTCCCAGGTGTGGCCTGGTAGACAGGTAGGCACCTCCCATGTCACTCAGATCTCACTGGGCATGCATCTAAACTGCCTTTGTCCAGACCCTTCCCTGCCACAGGGAATAGACCT